CTTCTTCAGGCACTTCTGCTGAGGGCTCCTTATGGCGGGGGGGGGGGGGGGGGGGAATCTGAGAGACACTTTTCCCCACTCTGACTCAGTAGCTAGTACCTTTCCACTCCTATCAAGTAGCTTTAATCAGCTACTGTTACACCTAACAACCCATTTCTCCCTCAGCTCAACTGAGCATCTGACAACTAGTCTTGGAGGTCACGGTCTATAATGCAAGGTTATCCAGCCCGCTAGAGCTGCCCTGGCACCTGCTCTTCCCGAGGCCAGCTCTTGTGCATTTCCTTATATGTGATGGGCCCTTTTTTTGGCTTCAATTAGCCAGAGTTCTTCGTAGTTGCACAACCCTGGCCGTTGTGAGCATGTCTATAGGGTGATCGTGAAAAACCAACAAAGAAACTTAAAAAAAAAAAAAAAGGCCCCATATCAGTCCATATAACTAACTGGGTATCTTCACCACAGACAGCTTGAGAAAGCGACATAGTGGGAGTTACGCTTTTTATCTGAAATATTTTCTAAACTATTTTTCTGCTAAATGGATCATTTTCAGTTATAGTTCTGAAGCAAAAAAAAGTACCAAAATAAAAATTTATTTACCAAACCTAAAGGTCTGTCATAGATTTGGAAATGTTAAACTAAAATGTTGAGTTCAACTTTGAGGGGAAAAAAACCCAAATCTATTTCAGGAATGGAACGTTGGTTTTGTTCGCTGAGTAAAACTTAAAGTACCCAAGAATGGCCAGCAGAGGGAGCCAAAACCACGCATGTAACTTTTTATTCTTCACAAATCTTTTAGGAAAATGGGTTATTAAAAACTGCAAAATGCAAATGAACCTCATCTTCCCAAAATATATGCAAAAATCATAGAAACCATATAACTTAACGCTGCTCTGCTGCGACGTGCTGTATGGAAAACTTTAAAGCTGGAGGGAGATTCTGAATCTCAAGTAGTTCTGAAAAGAAGGATTCCCCCCCAACACCCCCACCCTCCCTTCCTCTCTCTTCCTCTCTTCCCTCTCTGGGACTGGCTTGCAATAACTCCTGAAAAGTAGGTAATTTGTATTCTATTTCAACTTATACATTCTGAATTGTATAACAACACTTTTTCACTTGTCACTGCTGGGAGCGTCCTGGTTCATACGGGAAACAGGTATGTTGAGAAGAAGCCAGAGAGCCTCTAACACAGACCTCTGAAATCAGGCCTCAGGGCTACCTCAGGAAAGAAAAGGAACGGGTTTCTCATGAAAGTTCGTTGAAAAGGAATTTGCTGCAAGTATAAGTGTCTCTCCATTTTCTGGGTGGTACCTGCATTAGTCAGGGTGTTCCCTTTTTTGGCCCAATCTAGGAGGGGAAAGGAATTTATTGAAAGGATACTGGTTTGCATTACACTTTTAGTGGTTTGTAGTTAAAATTTGGGGAAGATATTTTCTACATAAAAATGAGAACAGTTTATTTTGTGTGACTTAATGTTCACAAATTTGAAAATTTAATTAAAATGGATTAAAAAACCCCAAACAAACAGTTCAGGCCCAAATGGCTTTACTGGCAATTTCCAACAAATATTTAAGGAAAAAGAATGTCATGTGAAACAAAGCCTTCCAGAGAAGAAAAAAGAGAAAGTAGTTTCTATCCTTTTATGAAGCTAGCATTACCTGGATATCAAAACCCAAACAAGGGACTTCCATTTCCAGAAAGATGGGGTAGATGTATCTTTTCTATTCCTCTCAGTAAGTACAGATAAGGATGGACATTATAAACAAAGCAAACAATAAGAGGACTCTGAAAGGTGGAGAGAGGCTGGCAGATGGATAAGGACCTCAGACAGGAGGAAGGCTACACTGGGAAGGGGCATGGGTTTTCTTTTTACTTCATATAGCCTAGGATTTTTTCTTTCTTTCTTACCCACTGTATCCCTGGCACCTAATAAAGTGTCCAGCAAGTAAGGGGTGCTTGGTAAATGAATGAATGAATAAATCAGTGAATGAGGGATCACTAAGTAGTGGATCTATTAAGCATGAAGGACTATCGAAAACACTATTGAAGAAAAAACAATTGAACTCAGTCCCTGATCTCTGAATTTATTATATATGCCCTAAACATTGGCCAGTGTAAGAACACACAAGGTGAGGGGGGATATCTGCTAAAACTACAAACCATAAACAAAAATCAACTGCTTCTTAGCCATGACTAGTGATGATGTCATTTCCTTTCTACAGAACGAAGAACAGTACCATGCAAAAAGGAAGAATTTTAGGCAATCTGAGAAGATGAAAACGAACATACCAAATACAGGATTAAAATAGAGATTCTGAGAAACATAGTATAAAACTGCTTGGACCATTCAATCCTGAATAACCTGAAAACTCAATCCTGCTGTTGTCGACACCATGGAGAAGGAAGGAAAAGAAATAAGATATAAGGATTTTCTGGGGCGCCTGGGGGGGCTCAGTGGGTTAAGCGTCTGCCTTCAGCTCAGGTCATGATCCCAGGCTCCTGGGATCCTGGGATCAAGCCCCATGTCAAGCACCATACTCAGAGGGGAGCCTGCTTCTCCCTCTCCCTCTGCCCCCCACCCCATCCCCGCTCATGCTCTCACTCCCTCTCTCTCTCTCTCCAATAAATAAAATCTAAAAAAAAAAAAAATAAGGACTTTCTTTCCATTATTTTATACAAGAATATGAGGTGATCTAAAGCATTCAATGCCTACCACATACTGTCAATACATCCTAAGAAATCAAGAAATCCACACATCAAATGACACCTGCTTGCAGGGCCGCTTTGCTGAACAACTGTAGGGGGTGCTGTTGGCAGTGTCGTCCATGCGAAAGGCACCCCCTGAACGCACAGCAAATATCCTAGCTGGCCAAACACTGCAGACCGGCTCAAATAAATGTTTCGGTTTCCAAGGCATTACAGAACAACACAGTGATATCTACAATTGCTATACATATTCATGAAGACACACCACCAGTTTTGAAAGAGAGCCAAGCAGAGAAAGGAATATCTTGTTCTACTGACAAGACAATTTCCTTGGTTCATGTCACCAGACATTACAGCTATATTCCTTGCTAATCTGAATTTCGTTCAAATCTCTGAAGAGCTTTGTTCATTTTGTGACAAAATTAGACACTTGCAAAATAAGTTTCTGACAATTCACATAAATTTATTTGTGCACTGATCATTTAGTGTGGGAGCCTTTTTAAAAATGCATAGAAATGGCATTAGAGCCAGATGAAATAATGTGATTTCTAAAAAAGCACTCCCTCAAATGTTTTGCTAGGGTTCCATAAAAGCAGTATGAGGTGTCTGCTTCATAATCATACGATTTTTTACTTCATTTTTTGCTTTACTTGGAAAACTTCCCAACATAATCTGCCAACACACTTTTTAAACCAGTCCGTTTTAAATGAGATGATCTCATCTAACGTTTAAGACTAAAAGATGAGAAGAGACAAAAGGGAAAGATACTTGAAGGTTAATTTGCCTAAGATTATTTTTTTAAATACGAGAATAGGACAGCTAGTAATAAGGGAGTGTTTCTCAAACTTCGCTGAACACGAGACTGACCTGGGGTGTTGGGTGACAAGTGAGAATTTCCAGGCCTCATCCCTAGAGGTTCTGATTCCTGAGGTTTGGGATGGGGCTCAGGAATGCGTATTATTAAAAGCAGTTGAAGAAGCTTTGCAATCAGGCAAATTCGGGAAATACTTGGTGTCAGGGAAAGAACACTGACCTAGTCATGGTGTTCAAAACACTAAGGCTCTTCTGTGTGTCCTTAATTGAGTCACTTTATCTTACCGGGGCTAAGTCTACAGTTGTAAAAATAGAACAAGAAGGGTTTTAGTCTATAATCTCCTTGAAGACAGGAACCACTGGGCTATGCTCACAACTGGGTCCCCTGTGCCTTGCCTGGTGCCTGGCACCTAAGAACCTCCCAGATATTATTTGTTGACTACTTCACCAGCTAGACAACAGGCAAGATCCCTTTTCAAGTGTAAAAATTATATGATTCTAAAAATAAGTAAGTAATAAAACAATTCATTTGGTCAGCCATGTACAAAACAATAGTTATTCTCAAACCCAAACAAAATACAAACCAAAAAAAATAAATAAATAAAGCACCCACTCCTTTTGCTTGGCACATCGCTGATAAGTATTTCAAAGGATCAGACTTGGGTAACTTGATCTCATGCCTTCTTCATAGGATGGGAGGGTTCAAGGTAATGAACTGGATGCACTTAGCATGACTGTTTGGCTCACAAAAGTCAGTAGAGGCTCAGTAAAAGTGAGTTGAATCCGGAACCCCAGGAAATTATGCGGAAAACAGGGTAAGTTCTCCTGCTACACATACAGGAAAACTGTAGTCACAGGAGGGCTTTTAGGCTTTTTGTTACTTTAGTCCCAAAATACATGGTCACGTAACAAGTCAAGAATTATTAGGAACCTTCTCTGACACCTGTGGATTGTGCAGAAATAAAGGCTTTTGAAACTAAAAAGAGGGGCACCTGGCTTAGTCAGTGGAGCATGCAAATCTTGATCTCAGGTTGTGAGTTCAAGACCCACATTGGGTCTAGAGATTACTTAAACATAAAATCTTTAAAAAAAAAAAAAAAGCAAATCCGAAGAAGGCTTAGTTCAAATTTCTGCATACCTCCCACAATGTTTCAGAATTGAAAAAAAATCACATCATGTGTCCAGTCAACGGTATATTAATACCCTCCCTGGGCTAACACAAAACAGTACACTTTTATATAATAACTCGTTTCCTCCTTTTGAAAAAAATTCTGAAAATATTGATCCTGAGATGGGGGGAGGGGGGAAGGAAACCACTAACTCTTAGGACATTCAAGTCCCAATTTCTCAATTTGACAAGTAAAATACAAATTGTTCATAAAAATATTGCCAAGCTGTGACCAAATTAATCAGAATGTTATTAAAACATTAATTTAAAAAATAAGACTATGCATATGCAGTGCAAAATCACAAGACATGGGGGTGTTTTTCATTCAAAGAGCAATTCTGACTTGGAACTGGTGCAAGGGTCAGTAGGTCTGATTGTACGTGCTATGTAAGAAAAGCTCCGAGCTGCAGTATTCTGAAACTCTTAAAACCACACGATCTCAGGCAGTAAAGAGGCAAGAGATTTTTCACTGAGAGCGGAGATGGAGGTGTCCCGGGGAGGCGATGCTGAGATCATGCACCATCCTTCTCTGGGTACAAGGTGAAGGCATTGGGGAAGACACAGAAAAGGGAACAGAGCAACCGTTCATGCTATATTGTTCTAACAGCTTCAGGGAACAGGAGTCTTCCGTATGTTTTCCCAGCATCTTCCCCACGCCCTAAAATCCATCCTGGAGAAAGAGGTTGGCTTAGCTGTCGGGAAGAAGAACCAAACCAGCCCGCATGCAATGGCCCCTAGTCAGACACCAGATAGGGCAGCGAGCTGACCACCTCCCCGGATTCGGTGACAATGTCATCGTACACCCAGCGTCGGTTGCAGCGGCACTCGGGCCCGCACTTGTTGGAGTTGCACTTGGGACAAGGGTAGAAGCAGCCCAGACAGTTCTTCTCCAAGCAATCACACAGATCGGCATCATTGCAGATAAGCCTGCCGCTTTTGTCATACTTCTTCCTAACTCTGTGGGGAGAACAGAAGACAGTGCCAGGTTCCCCCGCACGGAGCATGAACCACTCTGCAGCCACCTCCCTAAATCCAATCCCTTGATTCCAGGGAACCAGCACCCAGAGGATTCCCCAGCCACGATTCCCAATAGTAGATGGCAGTGGTGTCCCCAGGAAATTCAGCCCATGTGCCCCGTGCTCGTCACTGATAGGACCCTTCGTTTTCCCAGGAAGGTGATATGCCACCGAAGTCAATTATAAAGAGGAGCTGAATAAAAGCTTCTTCCTACAAATGCCACCCCCCTCATTTTTCTTTAAACATATAATCATTCCTGATGGGATTTTTCCCTGATAAATTACACTCTTGTTCCTTTCTGCAAAAAAGCACTCTTAGTGAATAATATGATTATGGTTTTTAATGACTCAAGATAAATAGAAGAACTGTCCATGACTGCACCATCATCATTAACAGAAAAACACACATATACACCTACCCACCCCCACACACAAAACTCCTTTGGTAACAGTCTCCAGGTGCCACGCTTCAGCTCCTTTCTGATTCTGTCACCCAGTGGGGAGCGAGAAGGCAGGTGACCAAGATGGCGGCCTCTCTCCGAAGCTCTGACTGAAGGCAAGGTGTTTTGTGCCAGAGGAACGCACCAGAGACTACACCCCACTTGAGTCCCCACACTTTCTCTGTCAGCCCCTACAACGTGCCCAGAAAACAGAAGCTGTCACAGGAATTCTACCACCTTCTCAAAACCAGGCCCTTTTGAAATAAACCCTTCAGAATTGAGCTGCTTGAAAGCGTGAGGAGGACCAAGTGTCTCTAGACAGCTTGTATCCATTATTAACAACTGGAAGTAAAAAAAAAAAAAAAAAAAAAAAAAAAGGCTGGCCCTCAGCTGGTGTGGTGAGATTATGAACTTTTCCACCCTTTGTCTTGAAACAGGTTTGACACCTGCTCTCCTTCCTGTTCAGGCTAAGTAATGCTGTTCTCTCTTCTTCCCTCTCCTAACAAGGCAGGGAAGGCCAAGGATCATTATGGAAACTTGCTGCCTGATTTTCTCACTTGGGCAGGAATACCTTCCGATGGGGATTTAGATCTGAAGCATTTCATCTGTGGGAGGAGGGCTCCACTCCTTCCCATGCCCACCGGGAAATGCAGGTATGAGCAGACCAGGAGATTTAAAATCCATGATGGAAATCATGGGAGTGGGTGGTCGTGAAACCACCAGATTGCCCATATCGGATCTTGTCCCTCTGCCTTAACCCAAATATTCCCTCGCCTTAACTCAGACACCAAGAGGCAAATTTTATAGTTTCCTGCCCACCTGATGCTATCTTTTATAAAATTCTAAACTATCGTACATACAAAAGTGTGGAAAACACACGTGCACAGATAAAGAAGAATAAAGCAAACCTCCACATTCTCCCTGCCCAACGTGATAAAAGGTATAACAGGGTCCTTTCCCCCCAGCACAGGAGCTGGGTCCCTCCCATGGTGGCGGGGAGCTCAGAACCTGAGACATGTGGATGACCCACCTTCCAAGGTGACTTTTCTTACAAGAACCCGGTTAGTTCATCTTTTATTGTCATTGTTTTAATTTTCCAGGAATAAATTAAAAAGCCTTTCTGCTGGATTGGCAGGTGGAGAAAAAAAAAAAAAGGTAGGGCGCCTGGGTGGCTCAGTCGTTAAGCGTCTGCCTTCGGCTTGGGTCATGATCCCAGGGTCCTGGGATCGAGTCCCACATCGGGCTCCCTGATCAGCAGGAAGCCTGCTTCTCCCTCTCCCACTCCCCCTGCTTGTGTTCCTGCTCTCGCTGTCTCTCTCTGTCCAATAAATAAATAAAAAATCTAAAAAAAAAAAAAAAGGTATAACAGGGTTGAGGTCCTCCTCATGCCCCGCCCACTGCATCCTTCAACCCCGCCCTCCAAGAGGAACCACAGCTTGCTGTTACAAAAGTCATCTCCCTGGGGTCCCTGGCTGGCTCAGTTGGTAGAGCATGCAACTCTTGATCTTGGGGTTCTGGGGCTTAGAGTCATGAGTTCAAGACCCATGTTGGGCATAAAAAAAAAATTCATCTCCCTGCCTTAGTTACATGTGTATGAATCCCCAAGCACATTGCATTTCCCTACATTGTGATTTGTGATTCATCCATGATGGTACTAGCTGTTATTCAAATATTTTCACTTCTATATGCATTCCACTGTAAGAATATACAAGTTTCTCATCTTTTCCATTATGGATGGGCATTTTGATTATTACTACCTTATTTTCTTTACTATTGTAACAATGCTATGAGATTTCTGAATGTGTCTCCTTTTTTTTTATTTAAGATTTTATTTATTTGACAGAGAGAGACACAGCGAGAGAGGGAACACAAGCAGGGGGAGTGGGAGAGGGAGAAACAGGCTTCCCGCCGAGCAGGGAGCCCGATGCGGGGCTCGATCCCAGGACCCCGGGATCATGACCTGAGCCAAAGGCAGATGCTCAACTGACTGAGCCACCCAGGTGCCCCTGAATGTGTCTCCTGTTGTAAATATATAAGAGTTTTTCCAGGATATATATCTAGGAGTGAAGATGTTAGGTCATAAGGTATATAGGTTATACGAGCCTATTTTTAAAGTGATTGTACACATATTACACTCAATTCATGTCCATTAGTTTCATCAACACTGATATCATCAGACTACATGCTGCCTCTCTGGGGAGTGGGGTGCTGCCCCATACTACACTGATGAGATTCTGTATCCTGAGGATTTATTTAGCTTTTTCTTCTACGAAATGCCTGTTCATTGATTGGTTCATTTTTCTCTTTGCATGTTTATCTTTTTCTTATTGGGTTGTATGTATTTTGGATACTGATCTTTCAAATTAGAAACAGTTTCTCCTATCTTGTGGTTTGTCTTTCATTATTTTTAAGGTGTCTCTTAATGGGTATAAATTCTTAATTTTAATGTAGTCAAATTCATCAACCTTTTTGGTTGCTTTATGGTTTGCTTATACTTGTGATGTGCTAGCAATTAATGTGGGAAACAAAGGCAAAGGAAAAATTATTAAATTTCCTTACTACCTACAGCCCATTCACAAGTCCTTGAACCAGGCAGAGTGACATTCCTCTAGGGACTCAGCTGCCTCTCTGTTGATACATTACTAAGGGCAAAAGACAATCTTAGCCCGACCCGAAGGACCCTGTTAGTCTACTTTCACATATAAAAATTCCGTTGGAAACTTCCTTTATCTCTACCCCCTAAGATTTGTGTTGACAATCATCCCCCAAGCATATGGCCCACCGATATACACCTGAAGGGTCTCGTGACTAAGGTTTTATTAGACGGTAATAAATGACCTTTTCCCAACAATGGCTAGCCCCCTCAAGGTCTGGATACCTTGCTTGCAAAATTCCTTAGAGACTTACACTATCTCTAACCCTCTCCCAACTTGAAAGCATATAATGGGCCACCCCTCATGACCCCAGTGTAGCTCTTTCTGCCCACGGGTCAGTCCCTCTACTTTAATAAAATCACCTTTTTGCACCAAAGACGTCTCAGGAATTCTTTCTTGGCCATCAGCTCCAAGGCCCATCTTTCCTACATCAACTATCATTGCACTTATGATATATCTGCACACATTTGATACCTGAATTCATTCCCACAGTTATATTATTTCTCCATCTAATGATACATCTTTCTTACTTTTAATCATCTTTCTTACTAAAGCTATTACTCTAAGCATCTCAAACCATCTGAAGTATTAAAAAAATTGATTCCTGGTTTGGGATTATTGTCTACTTCTTGAAGTTCCTAACTTCCAAACACATTGAGCGATATTATACTTCAGAAAAGATATTTTTAAAACATAAAAAAGAGGCAATCTTTCCTTTGTCAAGAAGAACTCATGCATTTTACAATCCACAAATCAAATATAATAAATCATGATCTTACTTGTATTTTACAGAAAAATATTCATTCATCTTTGACATCCGAGCTTTCTTTTTCTGCTGCCTTGTTTCAGGATTAAAGTCTGCTACCTGTGGCCCAGGATTTTGAAACGCCAAGCATTTTAACTGCCGCTCTATCTGTTGCTATGAAACAAATAATATGTATTTGGAGTAAGAACTGGATAATTATGTTGTATCAAAATAAACTTTCTGTAACTTTTGCCATAATGTCACAAAAGTACAGATGTTTTACCTAGCAAAAGAAACAGCTTAATTTGATTAAGTTTCAAAAGATGTTGTAAATTTCCTCAAGTTAGGTGATTCTGAATAAAGAAATCCATAGTATACATCTCATATAATAAATATAAATATAGTCAGTTGAGCCTCTGACTTTTGATTTCAGCTTGGGTCTTTCTGTTGTTTTATTTTTTAAGATTCATTTATTTATTTCAGAGGCAGGGAAGGGGCAGAGGGAGAGGGAGAGATAGTCTTAAGCAGACTCCCTGCTGAGTGCAGAACCCCACGCAGGACCCAATCTCACCACCGAGATCACGACCTGAGCCAAAATCAAGAGTTGGACGCTAAACCGACTGCGCCACCCAGGTGCCCCTCAGCTTGGGTCTGGATCTCAGGGTTGTGAGTTCAAGCCCCATGTTGGGCTCCACACTGGGCATGGAGCCTACTTTAAAATAAATAAATAAATATAAAAATACATATTTATACTTATAAATATATCTAAATATTTAAATAATATAATATATAATACAAATATATATAAGTATAAAATATATACATATATAACATATAAACATAATATATATAAACAACCAAGCAGGAACAGAATTCCTTTTATACTTGCAAAATACCAGTTGGCTTCTCAAATCTGATGGGTCTGAAAGTCCAAATTAGCATTTATGGAGGACAAGAACAAGGGATTAAAACCCTTCTGCAGTTGTTGGCTGGACAAACTCAGGTGGAATGCCTGAAGTGTTTCAAACCACGTGAGACCCAAGGTGCACACAGCCCCCTTCCCCTGCCTTTAGTGTTCTGAGATATGTTTCAGAATAATCATGACCTTGGGCATGTGGACCCCATCAGGGCTTTGCAGCCACCTGAATGATCCACTCTCAGTAAAAGCCAGATTTGAAAAAAAAAAATTTCCTAGAATAGCTTTCTAGAGTGTTAGCGGAAAGTTTCAAAAGACTCCGTCTGGAGACATTAACATTTGGAAAAGAAACAGAGCTTAATGGAGAAGAGCAACAAAGATGCTTCAATAAATCCTGATACCTTATTTCAAAAATGTAGCACATATCTCATGAGGGAAGGGAATGATCTTCTGAAAGATTTTAGAAGAATATAATCTGGGGCGCCTGGGTGGCTCAGTTGGTTAAGCAACTGCCTTCAGCTCAGGTCATGATCCTGGAGTCCCGGGATCGAGTCCCGCATCGGGCTCCCCGCTTGGCGAGGGGCCTGCTTCTCCCTCTAACCCTCCCCCCTCTCATGTACTCTCTCTCTCTCTCTCTCTCTCATTCTCACTCTCTCAAAATAAATAAATAAATCTTTAAAAAAAAAAAAAGAATATAATCTGAATGGCCCCCAAACAAACACACAGACTGACATACAGATGAAATACTTTACCAGGAAACAAAAGGGAAACTTTCAAAGTGTGAATTTCAATGTAACAGATTAGTAACAGAATCTCAGCCTTACATGCCATTTATTTATCTTAATAATAGTCCAGGCTGTCTAAAATAATATAAATATATTTCTTTCTTTATTTTTTTTTTAAAGATTTTATTTATTTATTTGACAGAGAGACACAGCGAGAGAGGGAGGAACACAAGCAGGGGGAGTGGGGGAGGGAGAAGCAGGCTTCCCGCCGAGCAGGGAGCCCGATGTGGGACTCGATCCCAGGACCCTGGGATCATGACCTGAGCCGAAGGCAGACGCTTAACGACTGAGCCACCCAGGCGCCCTAAAATAATATAAATATATTTCTTTAAATTTTCATCTCGGTGTGTGTGTATGGGTTTGTTTTTTACAAACTTAACCTTATGAGAGAATTACGTATTTAGGTATGGCTGTGAAAAAAAATACAACTTCGGACCGTCCATTACCATTCTCAGTTTAGGAACAGAGACACGAGGGTAAGCCTCTCTGTGTCCAAATCTGGGCTCTACCACTTGCTAGTGGCGTGCCTTGACCAAGCTCCTTCTCTGAGCCTCGGTGTCTCCTTTTTGCAAAATGGGGTAACAGGATTATCTTGTGAGAAGGATTTGGTGAATTAATATATGCAAAGTTTTAGAATCATGGGGCGCCTGGGTGGCTCAGTCAGTTGAGTGTCTGCTTTCGGCTCAGGTCGTGATCTCAGGGTCCTGGTCCCCTGCTCAGCGGGGAGTCTGCTTCTCCCTCTGCCCCTCCCCACCCCGCTCATGCTCCCTCTCTCTCTCAAATAAATAAGTAAAAATCTTTAAAAAAGGGGGGGACTAGGTTTTTTAAAATAAAAACACTGGACACTATAAAAACACTATATTCTCCACAAATATTCTTCTCCAGGGAGCGGGATTTTATTGCACAGAACACTGGGCTATAAATCAAGGGAGGTCAGTGACAGAGAGGAGGCATGTGAAGTGAGACCAGCCCTGCAGAGAGCTGAGTGAAAAGGGAGAGGGGGAAGCCCCATCAGCATAGAGGAGCGGAGAACCTTCCCATGAAATCCTGACTGGATCCACCTTCCATCCAAGTCCAGGCTCACCTCCGCGATCCCCAAGTTGAGACCTCTCCAAATACCATGAAACCCTAATACCCATTTGCCATACCAGTTGCTTCTGTCCAATCTGACAGTTTTTCTCAGGAGAACTTTGACCTGTGTGTCCCTCCTCGTGGGTGGAAGTGCTTTTGTCTGATTGTTCATTCATTTCTGATCCCTGAAAAGAGTAATGGGGGAAAAAGTAGGACACATTCATATCACACGTCTGCAATAACTTCATCCGGCGACTTTCCGGCTCTTGCCCTACAGCTTGCTTTCTTGCAAAGCCAGGTTTCCTGAAAAAGCCATCCACCCTCCTGGCTGCTTTTTTACCGCTCACTCTTAGACCCTGCATCTGCCCCCCACACCCACTCAGACCACTTGACGGACACTCTTCTCTTCTGGATGTTCCATGAGCAAATCAAACGTATCTTTTATAGTTCTCAGCATCGCAGACCTTGCTGGAGCAGGCAACACGGGGACCATCCACTTCTCTTTAAGAGGAGTATGAATTCTTAGACCTCCATTCTCCCCCCCTTACACTCAGTCCCTTGAAAAGAAGGAAGACACATTGATGTCCTACATCCCCAGTAACGCCATGAAGATCTTATCCACTCCCGTGGTTTTGGTTGCCACCTCTTTGCAGAGAGAGTCCCTCAGGGTGCCTCTAAAATCCCTGACCTCCTCACTCATGTTTTCTGACAAATTTCTAGTACAACTGGGGCTAAGTTTTCTGACAAATTTCTAGTACAACCGGTTTTCCATAAAACCCAGCTGTTGACACGCCTGTAATTTACTTTGGTTGTATACCTGGGGCACCGCGATGTGTGTGTGACTCGGGTGAAGTCAACACAGGATGCTAATCACAAATGCACAGTCCAGGCTGTTCTGCAGTGCTCGCTCAGAAAAGACAAAGAACCAAGCTCCCAAGGAGGTCTCCACAGCCCTCTGATTCTCTTCTCCCATTTCTACTGCTGGGGCCATGCTCAGGGCACTGTTTCTACTAAAGGGGTCTGAGCTATGATTGACCAAGGGGGTCTGGGTCACATGGCCCCCCGACCTGCCTGCCACCTGGACATTCCATCTCTATACTCCCAGGTCTGGGTCACTAGACGTTGACCGCCCACTCTCCAGTTCCCAGTATTAGGTTAAGAAACTGATGTTTCTTTCCTAGCATCCCTAACATTGATTTTCCTTTTCATTCTCTATTGGACGGAATCCACCTCCAGATAGGGTAGTAGTATTCATACTACTTACCCTTGACGAAGACAGCCTTAACGCTCCTGTCAGCTTGACAAAACCCCACACCAGGCTTCTCTTCCTGACTCGGCCCTGACCTCCTTTACCTTAGAGCTTTTACTTAAGAAAACTCATCCCTGTACATTCTTTCTCTGTCCCATTGAGATGTAAATCTTCTCCTAGCCTCTTGCCAGGTTTACAACCCAGGAATGTCTTCCTCAAAGATTAGGAGGCGTCCCTTTGAAATGTAATCAGCCAGAAAGATGGCGCCTGTTTTTGCCAGTCTCTGTGGGAAAAGTAGAAGCCTAACTTGCTAATTGGTGGGTGCCAATTAGCACACACAGGTGGCTTAATCACAGAGAAAAACATTTGCAAACTCGGGAATAACTCCATGTACCTGACACATCCCATGGATGAACCTCCCTCAAGTCCGCCAGCCTTTTCCTTCTGCCTGTTGTTTCACGCTGAGTTCACGCTGAGTTCCGGTCCCCACGCCACCCCCACCCCATCACCACAGCCTTGAATCAAGTCTTCTTTGCCTTGTTTAACTTTGTCTCCTGCAATTCCTTCCCATGCCACTTCACATCTGATCAGCCAGACATTCTTGGGGAGTCTTTTCCAATTAGACTGCAGAAAAAAATCACAGGGAGCTGTTTGAAGAATTAGAAATTCCCTGTTGAAAGAGGACTTCAAACTCTCTCCAGTGGGACCTCAGTCTCGACTTCCTAATTAAGTTCTTTTTTCCAACTTAACTCTTAACTCAGGCAAAAGACCCTGCGGGCAAGGCATCCCCCGATGGGAACAAAACTACCCCCGTGAGCCAGCAAGACCCCGTGACTGACCCCAAGACAATGATACACCTGATCTCTACTGCACTTACCCACCGACCTTCGTCCCACATTTTCCTTGTATAAACCTAGTATTTCTAGCACTTTGGAGATGGTCTTTGAGCTGTTCATCTGCTGTCTTCCCAGTGTTGGCCTCACTGAAATAAATTCTTTTCTTGTTGGACAAGAAATAAATTCCTTTCTTGTTGGCCCATCTCTCTCTGCCTTTGGACTTTGTCAGCGGAGAGTAGCCGAACCTGGTCTGTTTGGGAGCCCCAGAATCAGTGTTCTTGAACCCCGAGGCCCCACTTACCCTGTCAAATTCCAGGCCTAGTGGGGTTATAATGTGCAGAGGAGAATCCTGGTAATCTGTATAATTAATAAGCCCCGCAGGAGAATCCTCTCCTTAAGCAACGATGGGAAGAGATAAGATAGGGAAAGTAGGTAGAATTTTCTCCATCCAGTCTTGCCATCTGATCCTAAAATTATTGTTTGTATTTTCTTCCCACCCTCAAATTCATCCAAACCATTGTGGTTGTGTTCATATTCCTAAATCAGATATTTCTTTATCTCATTCCTATTAAAAGACTTCAATGACTCCCCTTTGCCAATAATATCCCACAAGCTCAACATGGCAGAGAAGGTCCCTCACAACTACTCTCAACCCACCTGCCTAGGCTCAGCTCCCCGCACACCTCCTCTGGGCCCAAGCCTACCTGACCTCGCCACTCCCATTAACAAACACGCCTCCCATCTCCTACCTAACTCAGCGCTTCACCTTTGAACCTTGGTCTCAGCTCCGAGAAGCCTCCAGAAACCTCCCCTGACCTCTCTAGTCCTTGAAGGCCCCTTCTTCCCCGGGGCTCTCTGTGGTGCTTCCTCAAGAAAACTCCCCCTCAAAGGGACCCTAAACGCTCTACCATCTTCATGTAATACATTTTCCTCCTCATGGGAATAAATATGACCTTATGACCATCTTTGCAAACTAGAATTTTTCCTAAAACAGCATCCATGTAACTACAAGGGGAGAAATGAGTATCTTATGAAAATCCTCTGCCTGAGAGGCTTTTTATTTAAGTCCTTTGTGAAATACAGTTCTCCACAAAGAGGTTGTGTGTTTCGGGGGCGGGGTGGGGGGAGACTTGCTCCTTTATATTCCAAATAAAGCAAAAGGAAATTATAATCGAATTTCACTGGGGACTGAAATTTAATTGGATTTTATTTTGAGCCCAAATTATCTGTCCCACAAAAAGTAATGAAAGTGTGCTGAATTCCCCCTTTTTCCCTGCGTAGCTTTCCCAAGACAGGGGCTCTTAACCAGAGAAGGAATACAGGGCCCTTAATCTTGGATGAGTAAAGAATACAGCACACATCTATTCCCACTGACCTCTAACTGAAATTCTGGCATTTCCTTCTATTATAAAAGGCAGCCAACAAATAACAGTGTTAGCAGGACTTGTGACTTTCTTGCCTGAGAAAACACAGATGTTTTCATCTCCCATTAGAGCTGCTATAGATCTATGTCAAGATGTTATTTACACTTCTCACTTCTTCAAAATGATGGTAGTTCTTAGGCCCACGGCTCGGATGTATTTGATAGGTTAATAATGAAACACACACATTACTATCACAAATTGTTTTTAACATTTGGTAAGTGTATTTCCAGATAACTGATTTCCTTTGCAACCTTACAGATTTTATTTCATATGATTAAAAATAGCATTCCAGGGGTGCCTGGGTGGCTCAGTGGTTAAGTGTCTGCCTTCAGCTCAGGTCATGGTCCCAGGGTCCTGGGATGGAGCCCCACATCGGGCTCCCTGCTGAGCAGGGAGCCTGCTTCTCCCTCTCCCACTCCCCCTGCTTGTGTTCCCTCTCTCGCTGTGTCTCTCTCTGTCAAATAAATAAATAAAAATCTTAAAATAAATAAATAAATAAATAAATAATAAATAAATAAAATAAAATAAAATAAAATAAGCATTCCAGGGGCACCTGGCTGGCTCAGTCAGAGGAGCTTGTGGCTCTTGATCTTGGGGTCATGAGTTCAAGCCCCACGCAGGGTGGAGAGGTTACTTAAATAAATAAAAATTTTAGGGGCGCCTGGGTGGCTCAGTCGTTAAGCATCTGCCTTTGGCTCAGGTCATGATCCCAGGGTCCTGGGATTGAGCCCTACATCGGGACTCGACCCCCTCAGCGGGAAGCCTGCTTCTCCCTCTCCCTCTCTCACTGTCAAATAAATAAATAAATAATCTTAATAAATAAATAAAAATTTTTTTAAAAATAATTAAAAAGGGGCACTTGGGTGGCTCTGTCAGTTGAGTGCCTGCCTTGGGCTCAGGTTGTGATCTCGGGGTTCTGGGATGGAGCCCCACGTCGGGCTCCCTGCTCAGCGGGGAGTCTGCTTCTTCCTCTCCCTCTGCCCTTCCCCCATGCTCCTGAGTGTTCTCTCTCTCTCTCTTTCTCTTAAATAAAATCTTTTAAAAAATAATTAAAAAATGAAAGTATCATTCTAAACAAACAAACTTTCTGAGAAATTGTCCATAGATCTCACAGTTGACCAAAGGGGTCCAGGACACAAAAGTAAGATTAAGAACCCTGGCAAAGATGCAGGGAGGACCCCATGCCCCCACCTTCGCTGATCATAGAGACAAAAAACCACAGATTCTGGCTGTCAAAGAGGCTCGTTTTCAAGCACAGAGCGGGGAACAATGCAGTCTATCCTAGGTTACTGCAGTCAACGGAACACAAAGTGGAGGACATCAATTTGACCAACTCTGTGTTTTGTCCTAACATTACAACCGATTACATCTGAAAGAGCCAAAATACGGTCTAGCAGAAAAAGAAGAGGCTCCCCTCGGGGTGGGGGTGGCACAGACTCACAGAGCAGGGCTCCTCCAAGTGCAGCCCAAGGGTAGGGCCACTTGTTAGTAGCAGGCTTGGGCTGGAATGGAAATCCACTGACTCAGTAAGAATATTGGGTAGTTTAGCGGACATTTTTCTTCATAGCAAGCTGGTCTTCCTGGAGGAGGCCGTTCACCGAGAATACATTCTGGCACAAGCTCTGTAATTCACCAGATCAGGGACCTTGAGAAGCACTGGAGTTCTATTAGGTCTTTAGCTCTGGAAGTAGTCTTAACACCTTTTTCTTACCTACCCCCCAGCAAGCCTGGAACCAGTATACAACACTCAGTAGATACCTCATGAATATTATGCTAGTGGATGCCAATTATTAGAGACCTACTATGTGTCAGGCACTGGGCTAAACATCCTACATATACTACTTCATTCAATTCCATGACAACTGTGAATTAGATGTTATCTCTATCGTTCAGATGACCAAACTGAGGCCCAGCAAGATCCTTTCGTCCCCCTGGGTACACATAGGCTGCATGAGTTTGAAACTCAGACCTATCTGGGTCCCCAGGCTAAGCTTTTTTCAGGAGGTTACACA